CAGGTTTAATTATTTTTTTATATACAACTTTAATTTAAGAAAAATATATTTTTTTGATATTGCTTAAAATTTACTATAATTTTTAAAAGAAAACTAAAAATAACAAAATTAATATATTTTTTTTAATTTAACAAATTAATTTTATAATAAATTATAATTATAAATTTTCATTTATTTAAATATTTAAAATAATTATATTTATATTTTAATAAATATTCTTTCTTAAATTTAAATCAAATAATAGTATAAAATATAAAAATTTTTATTTAATTTAATATAATAATAATTCTTATATAAAAAATTTATTAAAAATTAATATTTTTTTTTAAAAAAAAAAATATATATTTTGGATATATAAAAAACTTTTTTATGATATATTGTAAGAAATAATAAAAATAAAAAAAAAATTTAGAATATTTGATTTGTAAATAAATGTAAATATTTTAAATAATTAACTATTATAATTATTATTATAATTATTTTAAATATTATTATTATTATAATTATTATTATTATTATCATTATTATTATTATTATTATTATTATTATTATTATTATAATTATATTTTTGTAATTATTATTATAATTATTTTTTATTTATTTTTTTCTTTACTTTATACTTTATACTTTTTTTTATTATTTATATGAATTATTATTTATTTTTTATAATGAAATTTTTATAGAATATATATTAATATATTTAAATTTTTTTTTTTCTTTTATTAATTATTCTTTTAATTATATATTTTTGATATATATTTTTTTTTTTATATAATTTTATATAGTTATTCTATAATTTTTTTATTATAAAATTATATGAATTAAATAATTATATATTATTATTATATAATAATTTAATTATAAATATTATATTTATATTCTGAATATTATATTATTAATTTTTTTTATTTAAATAAAATTTATATTTATCTATATTTATTTTATATTTTAATTTTTATAATTCTATTACTTAATTTACAAATTTTTTTTTTATGTAATATAAGATATTAATTTTAAACGAAATATTAAAATATATATATACTTTTAAATAAGTAAAAAATAATAATAAATAAAATATATTTCTTATTTTTTAAATATTTAATAAAAATTGCAATTCTTTATAATTTAATTCCCTATTATATTCTATTATTAAATTTTCATAAAGAATCTAAAGATATTTTAGCAAAATATTTTACATCTTAATCACTATCTTCACACAAAGCTGTAAGTACTTTTTTAACATAATCCTTAAAATAATCAATATATATATAAAAAAAAAAATTATAATATACCTTATCTCTAATCGAGGATCCTAATATTTTTAAAGATTTAGCTACATTGAATCTAATATTGGGCACATGATCTTTACTAAGCTAAGTTAAAATGGGTAAAATTGTTTTGTTTATATAATCTTAGTTAAGTTATTTACAAACTTACTATTTATAATTTTTTTAAAAAAAGAAAAATAATTAAAAATTATTCAGTTATTTAATAAATACTATTATTGTAAATATAACTGTTTCTCTATGTAAATAATTTGGTTAATTTGATAAATTTAAAATTTTTGCCATAATATTTTTTTCAGTCCATTATGAGCCCAAATATTAAATAATTGATTTTACTGCTTAAACTGCTTATTCTCTTTTATTTTTTATTAATACTATGCAAAAATTAAATTATATTTTTACCTTACTGCAAAAACTTTATCCTACAACCAATCCATTAATATTTTAAGAATTTTTTCATTTAAAAATTCTTATCCAATTTCTTTTGCGAAAAAGGAAATGATTTCAATTGAAGACTATCTTATTCTCCAATTTTATCTTATGCTAAATCTGTAAGAGCAGGAATTACGGATTAAGAAAGCATATCTATTCCTAAAACGTTCGTTATTTAATTTAATTATTTAAATAAGTTTATTCTAACATCACTATCTTCATCTTTTAATAATTATAAAAATACAGGTAATATAAGTTCATTTGTATTAGTTTTTCCTAGGAATTAACTTAATCCTAAAAAGCTACTAGCAAGTGAATCTTTAAAAATTAAAATTTATAAAAAATAATTGCTATAAATTTACTTCTAACATAATTTTAACTGTCATTTTAAAGTTTTTTTACTAAGGGAATTATTTTATTAATTATATCATCTACTTCTACATTTCCTCCTACAATATCTAAACGACCTGCTGAAATGGCTCTTAACTTTTTTTTTTTTTTATATAAAATAAAAATTAAAGTTGGTTAATTATTTTTTCATTATAATTAAATTACTTCAGGCTCTCCGTCTTCTAAATAACTAATATAATTTTAGAAAAACATTTTTTTAAATTCATTTTTTCCTATTGTTTTTACAACCTTATAAAATAAAATTTATAAAGATTTAAAACAAAATTACTTCTCCAAGTTTATCACAAAAATAATATTTTATTCTCCAAGATCTGTCTTCAGATAAAGATTTAAGAGATTAAAGTACAGATTGAGAATTTTTCTATTTAAAATATTATTGAATTAAATAGAATATATATATTTTTATATTTTTTTTTACTAATTTAGGTTCAACTTTTAAATATTAAACACATGCATCAACTAAATAAATACGTATTAAATCTTATTCATCTTTTATTAAATTATTTAAAATTTATAAAATGAAATCTTCATTTTTGGGGCAAGAAACTTTTATTAAATCCTTTTTTTATATATTTTTTTTTTTTAAATATTTTTGCAATTTTTTTAAATATATAAAATCCTTACACTTAAATTAATTGATGATTATTTTCTTATAATAGGAATTTCATCTTTTGATAAATTTAAATAGCAACTATTAAAAAAAAATATAAATAAATATTTGATTTTTAATGATAATTTATTTGTTTTTGATCAAAAATATTATAAAATATACTTATTTAATTCTAATTAAGCTTATGCAGTTATTTAAGCATAAAAAGAGGGTATTATATCACAAGCGGGACCTTTAGCAAAGTACTAATCTGAATCTCTTAACCTTTTAACTAAATTCATTAACACATCTTCATTTTTTTTAATATCTATAAACCCAATTAGTTTTTTTATACAACAAGAAGCCTATTTTGAAATAAAAAATCATATTTTTTTAAATAAATTTTTTTTAATATATATTATTTTATTTAATTATTTTTTTCATTTTATTTTATTTTAATATACTTTAATTTATTTAATTTTTTTTATTTTATTTTATTTATATTTTATATTATATTTTTATTAATTTTATTTTATTTTTCAAAAAAAATAAACCTTTTCTCTAACTGATTATTCATCTGATTTACATAAATATTCCATAGGACCGAATAATATTTAAGCATGTTATGGACCTCCAATAAAATCTAAAAAATTTGATAAAACTTCAACTAATGAAGTCAATACTTCTTCTTCATCATCCATTAATTCTTATTTTAAGTAAATTTAAATATTTTTTTCTTATATATATTTTCTAATTACCATTTAAAAAAGGAATTAACTCTAATCTAGTTCTTTCTGGACCTAAAGCACTAGCAATTACAGGTAAATTTGCGACCGAAATTTATCTTTTTCTTATGTCTTCATTTTTTAAATCATCTATCAATTAATTTACAGTTTATCCTGTTTTATTTTCCACTAATTTTTTCATATTTTTTTTTTATATTTTTTATTTATATTTTTTTTTTTTTTTTTTTGATAATCTAATACATATAATTATTTTCTATTTTTGATATAGTTATTTTTTTAATTTATTAAAATAAAAATTGTAAATTACATTTTAAAAATAAATATTGCATAATTTAATTAATAAAAAATTAACACAAATATAAAAATTATTTTAAATAAAATAATATTTACTCATTAAAATTAATTATTTAAAATTTTATATTTAATCATTTTTTCATTTATTTTTTAAAATAAATATTTTTGATTTTTGTATAAAACATAAAAATTTAAAATTTATTTTTAAATACCATTAATGAAAAGTATTAGAAAAATTGAATTTATAAACTTTTTTACGGTTATTATGTAATAAAAATATAATAAGACGATATCTTTAATTTTATTTATAATTATATTAATAGAAAACGCAAGATTTAAGTTTTTAAAACTTAAATAATTATGAAAAACTTTATTTATGAAAAACATATTAATATTTAATAAATATAACATTATTACATTAATTAAAAATATATAAAAATCTATTACAATTATTTGAATAAAAAAAAAAAATTAATAAAATCTTACATATTTTGTATTTATAACTAAGCAATAAAAATATTTATTTAAATAAATATCATGAGTTTATTAACACTATTATTTAAACTTCTTAATTTAAATTAAAAAATTAATATAAACCCTTTATTTAATATATAAAAATATATTGATTAAAAAAAATAAAATAAGATATTGAAAATTAAGAATTTCGAAACCGGAGCTTTTATAGGAAGGAAAATTATCAGTAGTTTATATAACAAGAAAAGAACAAATAGGAATAATTATAATTTTAAAAAATAATTAAAATCCTTAAAATATAATCTAGAAAAATAAAAAATTATTATCTAAACTCTTTTAACTAAAAAAATTATTATAATTATATATATATATATATATTTATGATAATAATAATATTTATATAATTTATGGTTAAGGATATTTACAAATAAATGAATTAAAATTAAAATTAATTAAATAAATATCAGATATTATTAATAAATATAAAAAAAAATAGTATAAATAAATATTTCCTTAAAAAAAAGAGTTTTTTATTTTAAATTATTTCGTTTGTTTGTATTGTATAATATTATACACAGAAATTTTAACCAGAAAAAGTGTTAATGACTAATTTATTTATTATTTAATATTAGAAAAAAGGTTAATTTAAAATAAAGTTAAAATAATTAAATAAAATTATGTGATCTCTTATATTTGATATTATAAAATAATAACAAAGTATAGTTTTTATGGAACTCTAAATTATTTAAGTATTGTAAAATGATTGAAAATTATGAAATTCCTTTCTAAATTGATATTTTGAGTTTTAGAAAAATTAATATGAATTTTTTGTGCATTTTTAAAAAGCAAATTATTACTTAATATTTATTTAAATATAAATGTAATTGCATTTTTTTATTTTATATCATTATTTTTTGAAAAAGAATAGAATTAAGATGAATTTTATTCTATCGAATTATAATAAATATTAATTTAAATCAAAGTAATAAATACTAAAATTAGAATACAATTATAATTAATTCAATAGATAAATAATAATAAAAATATATATATATATATATATATATATATATATATATATATTTGAATTATAACTTGTTCATAAATTATTTGTTTATTTCTAAAAAATAAAATTATTTATATTGAAGTAATTAATATTTTTATAAAAAAACATTATTTTAAAACTTTTTTTATTTTTTTTTCAATAAATAATTTTATTATTTATATTTACAAATAATATTTTTTCGAAAAATATAATAAAAAATATATAAAAAATATAAAAAAAAGTATAAAAACCTTTATAAAAAATGATTACTTAATAAGAATCAAAAGAATAAGTTTAAGTTCCTACTAAAATTTATACTTATTAAGATCTTCTTAACTTTGAATCAGCCGAAATTTACAGTAGTTTCGGAAAAATGAGATTATCTACAAAACTAACTGCTCCAAAGTATGGTTTTGGCACAGCAGATAGATAATAATAAAACAAAGTTTTTCAAAATAAAGAATTAGCAAAAACAAATTTCGCAGGTATTTTATATATAAAAATATACTAAAGAATAATTTTAAAATTACTTTCTTTAATTAAATTAATTATAAAAAACTTCTTATTTAATTAATAAATTTAAAATATAAGGAAAGAGTTCCCCAGGTCCCGCTTATGATGTGAGGGGAATGGATTATTTCACGTATAAAAACGTAAAATAAAAATAAAAATAAACCATTCGAAAAAATAATAAAGGAACCTGCGTGGAGAATAGGAACACAAGTAAGAAATACATTAAATACAGGATCAAAACATGATTTTTATTTAAGAAAAGATGTTGATGTAAACATTTAATTTTTTTATTTCAAATTTCAAATTAAAAAAAGTTTGATCCTATGGAAGCCGACCTTTGTAGAAGACCAAGACCTCCTACAGTAAGAATAGGATTAGAATTAAGAGTAAAAAAATTATTCAAATAATTTTAATAAAAATATATATTATAAATAATATTTAGTTCCCAAATGATCCTAAAAGACATAGAGGAACTCCAGGACCTTAATATAATCCATCTTTAAGGCATGAAATTCCAAATGCACCTAAATTTTCTTTTGGTTTTAGAAGAGAAATAGCTGGTTTTTCACCACTTATTGCAAACAGTTCTACGCCTCAATTAGTAATATTTACTATTTTTGAATTTTTGAATTTTTTTAATCTTAAAATAAAAGGTTGGACCTGGAAGTTATATATAAAAAAATGTTCCACGGACTTCGAAAATTACAAATGAACCTATTTGGTCTTTCCCTTAGGCATAAAGATTCTCTGGATTTAAAGCAGATTGGTCATTAGCGCATTATAATAAACCGTAATTATAAATTATAAAAAAATATATTTATTTTCAATATTATTATTTTTATTTTAATTTAAAAAGCCGAGCAATAGGAGTTTAATATGATTCAAGAAAATAAACTTTGCCTTAATTTAGTTTTGGAAAATCAAATAGGGGTATTTTTTTTTTATAAATATAATTTTACTATTATTTAAAATAAAAAGATGCTAAAACTGGAGCTTTTAAAGATATGATGTCAACTTAAGAAGTTCATTTAAGAATTTAAATGCCTAAGTTTTGATAAATATTTATAATAAGCGTTTTTTTATTATAAATGCACTTTAATTTTTTTATATATACATAATTTCGTTATATATTTTATTTTTAAAAAATATATATATTTTTTATTCATTCTTTTTTAAATTTTTTTATATCATTTTAAAAATATAACATATTATAACAAAATGTATATTAATTTAAAATATTATTTAAATAAAAAATAAAAAAATCAAATTACAATAAATAATTAAATACTTAATATTTAAAAAAAATTAACTATTATATAATATAAGTAAAAAAAAAATGTTAAGCGCTGAAACAAATATTTTAATAATCATATTATGTTGTTTTCTAGGATTGATTTGGGCCATAATAAATGCCATCCAAATATCTCGCGTAAAGCTTATTCCAACAGTAAGTCAGAATCGTGACGCATACAATAGTTATGAAGAAGATGATCAAACAATAAACCAAAATATATACAAAATACTCGAAATAGCGAGACATATAGAATAAGGATCATCTACATTTTTAACCGAAGAGTACAAATATATCTCAATATTTTGTATATTGATGGCTTTTGTAATATTTTTTACAGTAGAAGAAAAACTAGGATATTTATGGACCACTGTATCATTCTTATTAGGCTCAGTAACATCTATTTTAAGCGGTTATATAGGAATGAGGGTTGCTACTTTTTCAAATTATAGAACAGCCTTTTAAGCTTAAAATAAAATGAGTTTGGCTTTTTCTGTTGCCTACAGAGCAGGAGTTGTTATGGGATTTACTTTATCAAGTTTAGGTTTGCTTATTTTGACTATCTTAATTGCTATCTATACTAATATGTACGTAAAAGATGATTATAAATAATATGCTGGAATGTACGATTCTATTGCAGGATATGGTCTAGGAGCTTCCACTATAGCTCTCTTTGGAAGAGTAGGAGGCGGTATATTTACTAAAGCGGCAGATGTAGGAGCTGACTTGGTAGGTAAATTAGAAAGAAACCTGGCTGAGGATTCACCTAATAATCCTGCAACAATAGCTGATAATGTAGGAGATAATGTAGGAGATATTGCAGGCATGGGAAGTGATTTATTTGGTTCGTTTGCTGAAGCAACTTCTGCAGCTCTTGTAGTCGCATCTTAATCCCCAGCTTTTTATTACTAACCCTAGTGTTTATATTATCCTTTATTGATTTCTGCTTTTGGAATAATTGCTTGCTTAATAACTACTATATTCGCTCATAGTAAAAATAATGAATCTCTATCTGCGGTTTCTAGAACACTCCTTTCGTAACTTTTAATTTCGACTCTAATCACGACTCCCTTTTTGTGGTTAGCCGGATATATTTCTCTCCCTGAAAGAATATATGGCCTTAATTATGAAAATTTTGATAGATCGCCCGTACATGCTTTTATTTGTGCAGCTTCTGGACTTTGGTCAGGCTTATTTATTGGACTTATTACTGGTTATTACACTTCTTATTCGTACTAACCTGTTAGGGAAGTCGCTTAAGCATGTGAAACCGGAGCTGCCACAAATATAATTTATGGTCTAGCGTTAGGAAACTGGTCTACTTTTGCACCTGTAGTTATTCTTGGAATTACTTCTTTTATTTGTCATAGTCTTCTTGGAATGTTCGGATTAGCATTAGGAGCTTTAGGCATGCTCTCTACTATGTCTATTGGTCTGGCTATTGATGCATATGGCCCTGTAAGTGATAATGCTGGAGGAATCGCCGAAATGTGCGGATTGGGAGAAGCCGTTAGAACCAGAACTGATGCTTTAGACGCTGCTGGTAATACTACTGCTGCAATTGGAAAAGGATTTGCTATTGGATCTGCGGCTTTGGTTTCTTTATCTTTATATGGAGCTTTTGTCTCAAGGGCCTCCGATGTAGCTAATTCACATCCTATAGACGGAGTTGATTTGACTACTCCTTTGATTTTTTCTGGAGTTATTATTGGGGCAATGCTTCCTTATGCATTTTCAGCTCTTACAATGAAAGCTGTTGGTAAAGCAGCATTATAAATGGTAAAAGAAGTGAGAAGGTAATTATAAAGTAACCCTTTGATTTTAACTGGTTAAGCTTAACCTGATCATGCTTCATGTATTAGAATTGCTACTGAAGCTTCAATTAATTAAATGTTTGCTCCTGCTTTTATTGCAATAGGTATTTATTTATTCATTAATTTATACTACATTAATTTTTTTAGGAATTCCTTTCCTTATGGGTTTGCTCTTAGGACCTAATGCTGTGGCAGGTCTCCTGCCTGGAATTCTTGTTTCGGGAGTGTCTATGGCTATTTCGAGTGCTAATTCTGGAGGTGCTTGGGATAATGCTAAGAAATATATTGAAAGTGGATAGTTTATGAATAGTTAGGGAGAAATTAAAAAGAAAGGTTCTTAAGAACATTTTGCTGCTGTTATTGGAGATACTGTTGGAGATCCACTTAAAGATACTTCTGGCCCTTCTTTGAATATTTTAGTTAAACTTTCAGCAATTTTTTCTCTTGTTTTTGTGAAATTTTTTGATAGTACAGCTTTACTTTAATGCAGTGTTTCACCTACTTCACATGGATGCTGATTTTGTTTTTTTTGTATTTTTCTTTGTTAGTTTAAAAATATTATTGAAAAATAATGTTTTATTATAAAATATTAATTTTTTTTACTATATAAATACTTTTAATTTAACTATTATAATTATATTTTATAAAAATATGCATTAATTCTTATAACTATTAGATAAAAACTATTATAATAAATTTTATATAAATGAAATAAAAAAACATAATTTGTTTTTATTGTTTTTTTTATTTTTTCATTAATTTTTTTTTCAAAAACTAATTACAAAAGTTAAAAAATGTTATTAACTATTTTTTTTTTTCATAAGCTCTAATTAGGAAATAAATGAGTAAAAAAAAATTAATTAATAATATTAATTTTAAAAAATAATTAAAGGAATTTTGTTTATTGTATTGTATTTTGTTTTTAAATATATATTACAGAAAAAAATAAAAAAAAACAACATAAATAAATAATATTCATTAGATCATTTTAAATATTAAATAAAACTTTATTATCTCATTTTAAATATTACTCTTATTAAAAAGAAGAAAAAAAAACTAAAAATAAATACTAAAATAAAAATTTAATGATACATAGCATATATATTATTTATATAAAGTTAAATAAATTCTTAAATTATTTCAAATGATCATTTAAATGAAGTATAACACATTTCACACATAATATTTTAAGCAGGTTATTCATAAGTGCATGTTAAACAGCTTTTAAATTAAGAATTATTTGTTTATTCATCAGAAGCTTACTAAGCAATTTATTAAGCTTCAGCATCAGTTAATTAATAGCCAAAATCTTCTTGATTATGGTTCAAAGGTCCCATAACAGGAATTTATTAAGGTTCATACTCTACTATAGGATCACATCCAATATTTTAATTAGAAATTTAATTATTTTTATTTACCTAATTATTATTATTAGATATATTATCAACGAAACTAATTTCATAAAGACCTTCATATTAATCAAAAGGAATTTCAGGGAAATATTTTGCAATGCAAAGTACAGTTTCAGAAGTATTTGGAGGAATAGTGAAAACAGTTGCGGAAGGTAATGGTTAATTATATTTAAACAAAAAGTTTTATTAAGCTTTAGTAAGTTCTTATTGACTTTATTGAGGAAGTTTAAAAAGCATAGAAACTTATACTGTTTTATCTGTCATATTTTTAATGAGCATTTTTCTAGCTACGATTCCTACATTTACATTTAAGTTTATTGTCGTTAATAATTGAATATTTTCATTTATTATTTTATTTTATACTTCGCTTACTTTATTAGTATAATTATTTATGTTTTCCTCTTCTTCTTCTAAATTATGTTCGTTTTATTTATTATTTATTAACTCTTCTTTTTATTGCTCTTCTTCCATTTATTAGTGTTATTAATTTGTATAAATAATTTGATTTATATTGTTTTCTACTTATTAACTTTGAGCTTAATTAACTTCTTCATTATTTTACTCAATTTCTACTTCACTATTGCAAGGTGCAGCATCATTTATATAATTATTATTAACAGCTGGATTTATATCATTATTGTTTATGTTTTTATTATTGTTTTCATAATTGGTATTCGTTTTTTATGTGTACTTGTAAACTGCTTTAGTACTAGAATCAGAATCGAGATCTTTTTATTTATCATCATTATTTTTCTCCGCAGATTTAGTAATTGAGATTTTTTAAACTTTAAAAAGCCTATTATTATCTCCTCTTTGTTATTCATCATCTGAGTTGTAAAATTGATTTTTATCTTCATTAATTTACTTTATATTAATAGCAGGTTTTTTATAATCTATATTATTATTTTAATTTTAATTATAAGAAAAAATGCATTAGATATTCGAATTTTATAAATCTATTTATGAAAAAAGCAACATATTAAAATTTTTTATATTTTCTGGAAAACTCAGATTCGTTTTTCCGTCCGGAAATGAATCTGCATAATAAATTTCCATATCAAAAACATTTAAAATAACTTTCTATCCATTTTATTCACCCAAAACTTTTTCTTCTACCAAATATTCTTAACAGGTTTTTCCTAAGAAATAATTAGGTTTTAAAGAATCAAAGTTTTAATAATTAATCAAAATTGAATTTTCTAATTCATCACAAAGACTTAAAATACCTTTCAAAAAGTTTTCTTTTTAAGAATTTTAATAATACCTTATAGTGTCTTAAAGTACATTTTCTACCATTGGCCTAATCCAAGAAGTATACAAGGGACAAGAATAATTAGGCGCAGGGCTCTTAATAACAAAATCAAAAATTAAAGGATTCGTTTTACATAATTAAAGACATGCATTAATTAGATTCAAACATACACTTTCGTTTTATCTTTTAAAATGAAGCATTTAATTTAATAAAGGCATACAATTATCATCTTTATATTTAGTTTCGTAAAAATAAATTTACGCATCTAAATCGTTTGTTTTACATTCTATAGAAAAATGTTAATTACTTAAATAATTATTACTAATGTAGTTGTTTTTCAAATTCGGATAACCGAACAGTAATTCGATTCTATATTTAGAAAATTAATCATTTATATTCAAAAAATAATGCACTAAATCTAAATATTATTTTAAATAATCATTTGTGCTCTTATATATATTTTTTAATATTAATTTGTTTATCATTTCACTCATTTACATATTATTATAACACATATACACTATTAAGTAACCTAAACATTATATATCATAATTCTCAATCATACACCTTTAATAAAATTCTTAATTCTCTAAACAAATTTTGTCATTTTACGATAATTCATATTATTTTTCTTCACTTGGAATTATGCTACTTCTACATACTAGATAATATACTAATTATATTAAAGGTTAAAATGATGATTATACAAATTTATTTCCTATTTCATGTTTTTTTTCTCCAAAGCATGTCAATGGGGAACTTTTTCCTAAGAAAAAATCAATAAATCTTGCAATAAATTCTTTTTAGAAAGCCCATTATACCTAATACTCGCCTCCTTAAACAAAATCTCTCCAAAACTCTAAATAATGTTACATTTTTAACCAATTTTTAGCCACTTCAGTATTTAAAATATCCAAGAAGCTATCTAGAAATCCTTCAAAAACTAAAAATTAATCTTAATTATTACCAGAAGTATAAGAAAAAGAAACAAAAATATTGATTGCATAAACCAATAATTAGCATATATTTTAACGAGTAAAAGCATCTTAGCAATTAGTAAAAATTTCAATTATTTATTTTTGATTTTCAAAGATAAACGTTTTACAAAATAAGAATACATACTAAGGTATTAAATCGATAATTTATTTGATTTAAATAATTAAATCTTTCAAAGCCAAATTATCATTTGCCTTCAAAAGTACATTAAATATCAATTTCAAAGATATATTTAATAAATTTTAATAAAGAATTTAGTTTTCCTCACTTATTTATTCAAATTTATTATAAAATGTATTCTATTAAGGTATATAATCATCTGGCTTAGGCATTTAAAGGACAATATTTTTAAAAAAAGTAAAAAACTCAATCGAATAAATATGCTTATCTTACATATAAAAATGATTATCAAGCCAGACTTCTTCATATAGACTTCTTGGAATAACCCTTTTTTAAAAACTATAATAATCAATATTCTTATCATAAATTTTAATTGTATTTTTTAGAGTTTTCTCATAAATCAAAATATAAGCGCTTTTTTAAGTCTCCTCTTTTTCCCACCAATTATCACCTTGCTTTTACGACAAACCTCCAAAACATTCACTTTCAATATTTAAAGCATCAAATTCTTTTATTTTGGAATCATTCATTTCTATCCATTTATCATCTTTATAATTTACATAAGAATAATAATGACCTCCTTCAGCTGTTCCTGAATGAACAGTTACCCCTTTTAGCTTATATTAATATTGGAGATTATCTTCATGGTTTTCAATCTTCTCATCTATTAAAGTTGAGTCTTTTTTTTCTAAATAGGGAATGTCCTAATCTTTTGCTTCTAGAATTTTTTGTAAATCTGAAAATTCGCGTGTATATTTATATGTATTTAATATATGAGGAAATTCTAATCTTGTATTAATTTTTTTATTTGCAAAAGTATCTAAATCAAAAACAATTCTCTAAAAAAAAAAAATTAAAAAAAAATTAAAAAAATTTAAAAAATGTAAACCTATAAATGTATTATTAAAATATTCGGAAGTTAATTTAAGCAAATTCTTCTAGCTTGATCACATCTTCTTTGACAATTATCACATAAATAATCTGAAATAATTTCTCCTTCAATCATTTTCTAAAACGATTCATTCAAATTATTACATCCATTAACAGTTAAAGAAAGAGTATAAAACAACTCATCTCTACTAGTTGTACTACCACATTGCAGACAAGTAAGTGAAGAAACAGTCTATCCTCCAAAAATACTCTGAAGTATACTTTTATAAGGCGTTTATTTCAAACTATGTTCCAATTTATCAAAAATCATATTCAAAAATTCTTATGTATCCTATTAAATCCCCACATTAACCGGCTAACCTGAATAATCTTTAAAAGAAAAGCAAAATCCAATAGGATTATAATCTTATCTATCTGATAAGTCCAAAAAGGAGAACATTCTTTATAACTAATGTAATACATTATCATCTATTTAAATTCCTTTATATTCAGTTAAATTTATTTCTTATTCATCTTAAGCAGATAGAAGTGCATATCTAAAAGTACTAGTCATATAAAATTATTAAAGCATAGAATTCATATAGCACATTTGAGATAAGTTTTTAATTCCGACATAATTCTAATGGCTTTTTTATTCATTAGAATGCTTATAATTCCATATAGCAGGTGTTTTAACAGAGTCAATTACTTAAGGTAATTCTTTTTCAACAATTTATCTATAAATTCTAATATCTTCTTTACTTAAAGTGGTTAGAACATTATATGCAGCTTTTCTAGATTCTTATTATTTACATTTAATATAAAAATCAGGATTATATTAAACATAATTCATTTATTAGATGCTTTCAAAAGACATATCTTCCAATATATTCTAAGGATTTTTCACAAAAAGACACGTATTAAACAAATAAGATGCAAATTCAACCAAATCAACAACTTTAGACACTTAAGAAGGCTAAATTAAGCTAAAAATTTTATCACACATATTAAGAAATCCTATTAACATTTTATCACATTTATTACCTTCCCTAGTTTCTTAAGAAACATGGGATTTTATATTCTAAATCATATTAACAACTAATGTCGCGTAATCAATTTAAAAATCATTTATAAATTTAGACTCTTAAATTACTTTACAAAACAAATTATAATATTAATTACAGTCACTTTTTGATACATCCTTACAATTAGGAATATTCTCTAATAAAATCCTTAATAAATTTTCAGAAAATTTACTTCTATCATATCTACTTATTAAATAAAGACCATTTGAAAATATTCTTCTTACTGTCAAATTCTAATTAAATAGTCCATTCATAACTATACTTTCAAAAAGTTCGCTTTCATATAATATTTTTCTAGTTTAATTATCGAATAAAGTTATATCTATTATTATACACCAAGAAAAATCTATTATAACTCGATCTTCACTTTCCAAATCACTTATTCCACTTAGTATATTGTGTAATATTTCTATTAATTTCTTTAATATCTATTTTAAATCTAATGTGTTTAATATCATCTCTCCTAACTTGCCATTAAGTTTTTCTTTTAAGTTTTAAAAGTCTGCTGGCTCTTTTATTTTTTGCTTAGATAATGGTATTATTGAAAAGCTTCCTATTTTTTTGTTATTTGCATTATTTTAAGATAACAAAGTATTATTTTATAAAGATTAAGGAAATATTTGGTTTAATTAATCATTTATAAATTGGTTTTTGTATGTATTTTATTATTTTTAATTTTCGGTTTTAGTCTTTTATTCTTCTTCTTATTCTTTTTCTTTTTCTATTTTTTACTTAATATCACTTTCTTCTAAATTTCTTAAATTTTCATCAATAATGTCAAGTGAAAATTTAATTTATGTTGCATAATAATTAATTTTATATAATTGAGGTATCTAAAATATATAATTTTACAGTTTATTTTTTATTTTATTTTTTAAAAAATACCTTATTAGTAAACAATGAAGTTAAGTAATTTTTCATAATTCTAAGTATAAAAGAAATAATATTTTTTTAATTACAAGGCAATTTCTAATAATCATGTTATGAATACTACTTAAAGACAATAAATAATTATTCAAATCCTCCACACTCAATAAATTCTTCACACCAATTAACTACGTTATTAATAATTTTATTTTCCTCATCTTATTATTCCATTAGATATTCAATAATAGTTAGAATATACAAAAGCTTATAACTATTTTAAGTATCAAATATTTAATTCCAATTTCTATCTTTTACTTATTTCACTCCTTCCAAATTAACAACTTTATTCATAATTTCAGGTGAAATAGGCAGTCTATTTAAAAGACTTTTAACTTATTCAGCTACTTCATTAATATCTAATAGACTAAATAGAAGATTATAAAAAGAATAATTTTACATTAAAATTTTTCTTGGTAAAATATTAATATCCTAATATTTATAAATTCATATATTAAATATATTATATAAAAAAAAATTACTTCAACTTCTTCTCCTATTTCGGAAAGCTTTTTTAAATCATTTCTATATCCATGAGAATGCAGGTTTTTCCAAACAACGCTTATTTTATCAAAGCAAGCTTTTTTATAAAAAGAAAGAAAGTTCTCTAATGTAAGTAAATTGTCTTTATCGTCATCCCATTCATTAAAAGTTTAGATAACTCTCGGATCATCTGCTTTGCAATTATCATTAGCACAACTATGTATAAATTTAGCACAATTTTCTTTATCCATTTTTCCATCAACAGAAAATTAATTAAACCAATCAATAAATATTATTTTTACTCGATCACATAAAGAACCATCTTCATTAGTTAAAGGAACCTCAGAGAGAGTAGGAACAACTTTTTTTTCCACAGTAATGGTTTCATTATTTTTAAAACGTATTTCTCCAATAGTTTTACTATTATCAGATTCTTTTAATAAATTAAAATGAGAAGCCCTTATTAATTTTATTTAATCCCAAGAAGTTTAAATGTTTTTAGCGATCAAAATCTTTAAATCAATAATTGTTTTATTAGATTCTATTTTTATTTCTATTTTTTTATTTCCTTCATAATTAAATGTAGCTTCATTATTTATTAACAAATTTTATATTTCGCCTTTTACTAGTCCATTTAAAGGTTTTAAATTTCCAATTCCTTTTTTCTCGCTTTCATTTAAAAGTGCATTTATTATATCAATAGTTTTTTTTATATTTGGATAATTACTCCTATTTATTAAAAATTAAAATAAATAAAATTAATTATTTACAAATTTTATTAAAGAAAATCAAAACATTATTAAATTAAACTTTAACGAACTTAAATTGTTTCTTATTTAGAGGATTAAATAGAAAGATAAATTTTAACCACAAAATCAATACTTAATTCAATAACTTAAGCATTTTACGACTAATATATAAACTACCAAAATATAAAAAAACCTTTTAAAAATGAAGGCTGAACAACAGTATAAAATTTAAATTGTTATTCATCGTTGCATTCATAATTTATTTTTTAAAAATTATTTTATTATCCTTCTTCGTAATTTAATTATCCATTTTTATATTTTTTATCATTTAAATCGTCACATTCATTTTTTTTTTTATCTATGGACATATTATAATTATGCGATCCATCACTTCCATAAAATTTATTCTTTTTTTAATCATCAATAACTTTTAGCATATTATTCTACAAATTAAGCTATATAAACATTACTTTATAACACTTAAATCCTTCTAAACTAATTTATTACACTAAACTAGGTTTTTATAGTAATTATTCTTACAAAAAGTTACCTATTTCTTATATAATCTCTCCTTATTATTCAGCTAAATCTCTAATCCATTTATACATAATATCAACTTCTTCCAAGTCTATAGCCTTATTAACAATATCTTTCCACAAAGATTATAAAAACCCAGCATTTATAAATTTGTTTTCTGTATCCAAACAATTATTCAAGAATTTAATGAACTCGATTCTTTCTTTAATCTTATTACAATATCTGCTTAAATAATTATTTTATTAAATTGATGATGTTTGTTAATTTTCAGTTTTTTATACATATTCTTCTTTTAAATATTATATATTATTCAATATATTCTATACTAATCCTTAATTTTTAGTTAAAACGTGTACAATTTCATGCTTGTAAGTCATTTTTTCATAATATTTTTCTTGATTTTAATTATAAGTATTAAATTTTATCGAATAAGTATTTATTATTTATTTCATAATATTTATTGAATGTTAAACTGATTAATTATTTTGAATATTTAAGTTTAATAAATTAAGAAAATATTCTCTTTAAATATGACCATCTTTATTCTTTATTAATTCACAAAACTTTTCTTAAATTTAGTCTTATATTTCTTTATTTAGCATATTAATATCTTTGTCAATTAAAAGACCATATAAATATTTTAAAATTTATGTTTCTTCAAAATTAAGTTAATTTGAATAACAATTATTGCTTTTATTTTCTATTACATTATTTGCATATCCAATATTAATGATATTTGAATTATTATTATCAATATCATTATTTAAATGAATATTATTATAATTATTATCATAATATACATTATTATTTTTAAAATCATTATTTTTATTATAATTAATATTCTAATTATTTATGTATTATTTATTATTATTATTATTATTATTATTATTATTATTATAATATTATTATTATTTTTGTTGTTTTATACTGCATTATTTTCACTTTTTTTGTTTAATTCATAAATTAATTAAATATGTTCTTTTGTTAAATCTTTTATATCTATTTATTTAATATTTTAAATGAAATATTGTTTCTATATTTTGCTTGCATCTTTAACAACTTAGCTTAATTATTTTATAAATATTTATTTTGTCATCTAATCTTATTTTTCATTTGCAGTAAACATTTAACTTATCATTTTTTTGTCTAAGGCGTTTTCTTTTGATAAAAATTTTATCAAATCTCCACTTCTGGATAATATTTCTGAATGTATATTATTAATATAAATATCTTCTATAATTTTATTGTTTATTAATTCATTCATCTTTAATAAAAATTAATAAAAAAATATAAAAATATTATATTTTTTATACAATATAACTTGCAGTAATTTAATTTTAAACCAAAGAAATAATTTTTACATATTTAATAGTTTCATTAAAAAGTTTAATTCCAATAATTTTTTATTTTAAAAATTCAGTTTTATAACACAAAACTGCCAATTTTAAATAAAATTCGCAAATAAGTTCATACTTTTCACCTAAACTATAATTTCTTTTAAGGAGACAATCAAAATAATTTGCCACACTTTCAATTTTTTCTTTTTCAAAAGTTCTAACATACGCCTCATTTGGGTTAGTTAAATTTCTACTAACAGCATCCCATGCTGTTTATACAAAATTTTAGATAAAATTTCTATAAAGAAATCTTTAAACATTAAAAATGCTTGCTAGTAAAAATTATAAAGTTTCCAAAGGACATTACTAACTACAAATCTTATTTAAAATATTATCAAATCCACCCATTTTTCCAAAAAAATTTAAATAAGGAACAATTCCATTTACCTTTTCATCTCTATTAATTCCAAATATTTTCTCTTTTTTATCATCTTCTTCAAATAAAGCATCGTCTGTATCATCTAATGAATCCTCAATGCAATTCTTATCTGTAGGTTTAAATACTTTTTTTGAAAACTTTCCTAATTTTGCTATTCTTGGGCTATATACCGACATATATGTATCACTTTTTTAACTTCTTCCATCATATTTTAAATTTTTTTACAAATCCAATCTATTTCCATTTTCTCTATAAACCCTAAAACCTATATTTTTTTTATCCAGTTAATAAAAAAATAATATTTTTGTCAACCTATTAAAACTAATTTATTTTCTGTTCCTTCATCTTTTACTTCTAAAACATGGGATTTATACCAAATTTAAGAACTATCACAACAATCTACTTCATCATTAATTTTTAAATTTTATCTTAGTTCAAAATCAAAAACTCTCGAATTTAAAGGTTATATTTAATATGAAGATTTATCAATTAATCTTTTTTTTTTATTTTTTTTTAATTATTTTTTATTATAATATTTTTATACTTTAATTTATTTTAGGTTCCAATAAATATAATAGCTATTTAATTATTATGAATTTGTGTTATTTTTGCTCTTGACCAACATTTCCTTTAATTATTTTAATCTGTTAAAACGGCATCTATTAAATCATTTACTTTTAATTCTTATTCAAATTTAATTCGTGCTTCATCCCTCTAATATATTTTACCAAACTATGTATAATTATTTTTTATATTATAAAAATATAATTTAAATTAAATTTAATTTTATTTTTTATTTATGATTTTTTTTAGTTTAATTTTTTGTTTAAAATAAAAAAATTAATTAAAAATTATATATTATATTTATTTATATCTAAAAATTTACAGGATAGAGTTCTAAAGAGTCATTATTAAATTAAGTAAAAAATTTCAAGCTAGGTTCAAAAATATTAAATAGAATTTCTGAAAATTTAACATTATCACAACATATAAATTTATTTATAATTTATATAGTTTTTTTAATAATTTATTCTGCAATATCATAGTTATTTTTATATTAATATTTATGCCTAATAATATTTTTAACTGTATTTAAAAGAATATCATCAATATAAAATTATGTATCGATTTGGTCTAGTTTTGTATCAAATATTAAGTCTAAAAGACTTAAAATTGAACTAATAACTAACATGTTTTAATTTTCATTTATTTAAAGAAGGCCTACTGCATTTTCTTTAACTTTATACCATTAAGACTTTTCGAGTATAGATTCTTCTATAGGAGAAAATTATTAAAGTTGCATATCTTTTATTTTTAATTGATATTTATTTATTTTTTATTATTTTTTAATATAATTTTTTTTTTATAGTAAATTTTATATATATTATAATTATTTTATTTATTTAATAATTTTCGGATCTATTATAATAAAATTATATCTAATAAAAAAATAAATAAAAAAATTTAGATAATTAAAATAAATAAAAATATTGAAATAAAAAAAAAATATAACAAAAAATATATAATTATTTTATGAATATAAATTATAATATTAAATTATATTATAAATAATTTAAATTTTTTTTATATATTTAAATAAAAATAATATATATAAAAATTTTAAAAAAATATTAATTAAAAAAATACATTATAAAATATAATATAAAAATCGAAAATAAAATATATAAAAGAATAAATAAATAAATAAATAAATAAATAAATAAATTAATAAATTAATAAATTAATAAATAAATAATTAAATATATTTATAAATAAATAAATAAGTTGATATACATAAAAAAACAAATATATTTAATTTATTTTTATCAAAAATACCAAATTTATAAATGAAAAAAACTAAACAAAAGCAAATTATATTACCAAATAAACCAATTAAATATGATTAAAGGAAATTCTAAAAACCTTTAGAAACTAAATAAATAAATAGTTCTTCAAAATTTAAAACCATTACTAAGATTTTATAATTAGAAAAACAATAGCTTAAATCTGAACAGTTATAAAATTATGAATTTGAATTTAAGCAAAAAGATTTAAATTTAAAATTTCAACAAAACACTCTAAAAATAAATGACTTTCCATAATGCTACTTAAATCCTTTAGAGGACACTATAAAAAATCATGACTTAAATTTAAATAATTATATTTAAGAATATAAATAATATCTTCCTTAAAAAAACTAGCATATTTAAAAAATAAAAAATATAAACAATAAGCAATAATTTATTTAATAAGAACGATAATAAAGTTGCATAAAAATATAAAGTTTAATTAAGATGTTTATATAAAAAAGAAAATTTTAAAAAAAAATACAAAAACTGTAAAATCTTTATTAATAAAATAAAGCATAAAAAGCACTCTATTTTGAAGCTAATTTAAATTTCGATTAAAAAAAATCAACTTTTAATTATTCTTATAATTAATTAAGTTATTAAAATTTAAAATTAAATGAAAACTTAAATAAAAAAAATATCTAATAAACACTTTTGAATAATTTTTTTATTAAGAAAATGATAATAAAACTATAATTAATGCCTTTTTGAAAAGAAACAAAGGTTCAATATTATTATCTTCTTCCCCAGAAAAAAATAATTTTAAACATTTGTAAATTTCTAAAAATAAAAAATAATCATTAGAAAAATCAATTTCTTATATTTCAGAAGAAAAGTATTAATAAGATGATTTCTATCCTCCAGATGATGAAAATTTATAAAGTAATAATTTTAAAAATTCGTCTGCAATAAATAAAAATTTTTAAAAAAATAACTTTTCCTCGTCTTCAATTTAAGAAAGTTTCAAGTTTAGTCAATCATATAATAATAAAAATAAAGAACAAAGGGAAAGTCTAATTGAAGAATCTATAAAAGAAGATTCTCAAATTTAGTAATAAAAAACAGATAACAATATTAGTGAAGAAATTATCTAAGAAGAATTAAGCATCTAATCTTTAATTTAAGAAGATGATGATATAGCAGAAAAGAGTTCTAAATAAAAAAAATAAGTAAAATTTGATTAAAAAAATACCAATTAAAAGTCTATTTTTTAAAATAAAGAAAATAATAATTTCTAAAATAAAAACTAATAATAAAATGATAATAAAAGTTAAACTGATTAAAAATAAAGGAGAGAAATTAATAAAAGTTAATCATATTAGTTTTCAATAGAAGAAGAGTTAGAAGATTCTTAAAAAATACAATAAAATCCTCCATTTAAAAAAAATATGTAATAATCATTAGAAATAACTAAAAACTTAAATGAAGAGAAATTAAGGTTCAATAATATATAAAGTGATGTATAATAGATGCTTTTAGAAACTAAAAAAATTTGCGAAAGGTGGTAATAAGAGAAATTATAAATCGTAAAAACCTAAAAAACAATATTTGAAAAATCAGAATATTTATATTCTAAATTTCATTTAGATTTCTCAAAATTGCTTAATTATTCATCTTTTGGAAGTAAGTTTTCCCTTTTAAATACTTATTTTGCATATAAAGATTCCTAAAAGAAACCTTTAGAATAGAATATGGATGAAAAGCTTAATTAAATAATCTAAAATATAGAAACTAAGTAAGAAATAATGTTTAAAGTTCTTTTATAAATTATGTAAAAATTGACCAATTTTAATCCTTTAAGCCTTGATATAAACTAAATTCTTTAAACCCAACAATGCCATATATTATAATAATATTAATAATAGCTTTAACAAAAGGACAATTAAATAAATGCATTAATCTCTTATTTAGGAAAATCATAAGATCCATAAAAGAATAAGCTAAACGATATACTAGAAAGAAATAGAGAAAAACAAGAGAAAAAAAGCACAGATAAAAAAACTCAACAATAAATAGATGGTTATACATTAGATTTCGAATCAGTGAATTATTTAAAAACTGAGTAAAGTGGAGAAAAAGACAAAACCATTTTAGAAAACAGCAGTGTAGATTTTTAGGCAAACTAAGACAGCAAAATAAGTTGGTAATCAGACGAAAATATATGGAATTCATTATGTGAAAGAGAGCGTGAAAAGGTAAATGATTACAATACAGAAGAAATAGTAGATTATTTAAGTAAAATACTTCTTGAAGAAATCAAGCAAGACTTATTCCCTAATAGAACAACTTGTTCTAAGCTTCTTTAAAAGAAAAATGATTAATTAATACATGAAAAATCTTTCGAGAGAACGAATTCTCCGAAAATATTAAATAAAGAAAAAAAAGCACTTTCTTCACTAAATGATTCGCCAACATAAAGTATAAACAGAAGTAAAAAAGGAACTGATAAAACACTTACTGAAGAAAGTCATGTCTATGAAAATGACTTTGAAGATTCAGAAGATAAATTTTAATAATCAATATAGAGTGCAAAATCAAATAAATCCTATTTAAATGAGGAATTAGAAAAAGCTTAATAAGAAATAATTGATAAAAATGCTATCAGACCAAAAGTTCTTTCTAAAGAAAATGGAAGTTTTTTTGTAGATCCAATGAGTGAAAAAGGAAAAATTTTTGATAGAAATGCACTTCTAGCAGAAATGGAAGAAAATGAAAAATAAGGTTTTTCTGAAAAAAATCCAAATAAGAATAGCGATATTAATAGTTTTTCAAATAAAGACAAAAATGATGATAATGACTAATGTTATTAGAAATCAGACTTTTATTATGAAACAAAGGAAAATGAATATGGAGAAAATGAAAAAAATATTGACAAAGATTTATATAAAAATTAAATTTATTATGATAACGTTTAAAAAATACTAACTTATTTTAAAAACATTATTATAAAATCAAAAAAAAAAAATACTTTGATAAAAAATATTACTAATTTAATTATTTAGAATTTACTTGTTTCCTAAAAAGATATTGAAAATTTTCTTGGAAACTAACTTTTTAAATAAATTAATTTATTTGAATAAACAGATATTAAAAATCAAGAATAATAAGTAATTTGTTTAGCTTATTAAGAAAAGTTTCTTAGTAATATTATAAAAAATATACATGAAATTCAACTTTAAAATAAGGCTTTTAAGAAAACAGAGATTGAAGCAGAAATTATACTAAGATGGGAACATATTGCTTAAATTTCTTTTGATTAATGTTTATAAATTGTGGAAAAAGTTGTACCTGTTAATTATTATTCTGATGTTAAATTAAATTCTTCATCTAAGTTTTTACTTGTTAATAAATTTTGTAATATTAACTAAGTAGCAAAAGAAGATTTAGAATTTTATGAAATTCAAAATTATGAGTTATATAGAGAATAAATTTCAGTTCAAAAGGAATTAGCTGATGATGTTTTAAACAAGCTTTTAACTTAATTAGCAAGGGAGATTATTATAAAATGAGCGAATAAATAGTTTTCCTGTTTTTATTTTTTATTTATTTTACTTTTTATTATGTATGCTTTTTTTTTTATATATAAATTTTGTTTAAGATAATTTTTAGCTTTTATTGTTTTTTTTTTTGTTTAATTTTGTTAAATATCGAATAAGCACTTTTTTATTTTCATATCGAATTATTTAATTTTGTTTCTTTATCATTTTAAAGCAATATAAGTAAAATTTTAAAAATCATATAAATAACTAAATTAATTAAAGAACAAAAACACCAAAAATAAATTAATAATAAAAATGCAAAAAACATAATATGATAATTATAAAGTAACATAAATTCTTTAAAAAATCGTTTCTTCTTAAAACCCTTAACAAAGATTTAATTCGAAAAACAATAGTTTATATTAAAATAATAATTAAAATATAAAAAAAGTTATATAAATAAAAAAAAAGATACATTAGAAAAAATAAGATAATAATCATTCGAGTATTAGTAAAACAAATTAATTAATAAAAATATAAGTTAGATAAAAAAATCAAGTCCATCAGTATGTCAAAGCACAACTATTCAAGAGTATATGTTGAGTAAAGATGTATCAGAAATATTATAAAGCATAGAATCATCCAAGATTGTAAAACTAGAAGAAAAGCAAAGAAACCTTTTTATTAATGATAATTACAAAGAAAAAGAGAAAAAAAATGGAAATTTAGTTTGTTAATATTAAAAACACATTTATAATAAAATTTCAACTAGTTATTTTGTTGAAAATAATTTAAATATTAATAGTTAAAAATCTGTCTAAAATATATAAAAATAGTAATTTATTGAGCAAAAAAAAAATTAATTAACATTAGTTTAAACTAATTAAAAAATATATGACTTAAAAAAGTAAATATTATTAGAATAATATCAATAAAAAAATAAAAGTTAATAACTATAAAGAAATTAAAAAGAATAAATAAAAACTCTGAGCTAATTATAAAATAAAAAAACGTAAATTGAAAATTAATAAAAATAAAATTTATTAGAGGCTTAAAAAGAACCATAAATTATAATATTAGAAGAATAATAAAATTAAATTGAAAAAATATAAAATTCATAATAATAAAATTATTAATTTTAAATTAAATAAATACCTGATTTACCTTTATAAAAATAAAACGAGACTAATGAATAAATAAGCTCACTATAAAAATAAAATTAATAGGAATAAATTTCTCAATAATTTTATTTAGAAATATTAAAAAAAGAAAAATAAAGGTTAGAACAATTAGAAAATATAAAAAATTAATTAAATAAAAAAAAATAATAAGAAATCAAAAGCAAATCATATCATAATTTAAACTCTGTAAATTTATAAAAAAATAATATAACTTCATTGAATAATTTAAAAGAAAAAAACGATATTATTTAAACAAATAATAATATTTCTTAATAATCTATAATCTAAGAATAAGATTAAAAATAATAAAGAACGAATTCAAACTCATTTTTAAACTTTAATCCATAGAATAATTCAATAACAATAAATTAATAAACTTAAAACATTTATTCACTTTAAAATATTAGAATAAATAATAATTAAATTGATATTAAATAAAAATTATTGAGTGTAAATGATATTTATACGCCTAAAGTAAATTAATTATTGAATGATATTAAAAATTCTTAAAAAATTGATATATAAAAAATAAATTATAACTAATATAAATAAATATGATATTTTAATAATATTATTATAAAAACTAAAACTTTTATATTTAATGTGTTTGAGCTTTTATATTTATATTTTTCATTATAAATATAAATTCTATTGTCTAAATATTATAAATTAAAAAATTATAAACTTTGTATGGAATGAATTTTATTAATTAAAGGTAGTAAGGTAATTATTTATTTATCTATAAACTACATATATATTTTTATAATTACTTTTAAATTTTATTTTTTACTATTATTCCATAATTTAATAAATAATTTCGTAAATTTAAAAATGAATGATAAATAAATAATTTAAAATATGATTTAATATTAATATTGATAATTTTTGTTAAGATAAGTTATTTTTTTAATTAATTAAAATTTCATTAAACTACCCTATATATATTTATTATTTTATATAATTTTTTATTTATACATAAAATTTATTATAAAAACTAATTTATATTGAAAATATTAAAAATTTAAAATTAAATTATTTATTTATATTATTTATTAAATATATATATATATATATATATATATATATATATATAAGAAAAAAAGTATTAAAGAAAAAAATAAAAATTAATTAAAAAAATATAAAAATGCAAGCAAACAATTTACCTTTTCCTGGTATATATTTCGGAGGAACAAACAATTTAAATAATCAAAGTTTTTCAAATATAAGACTATCAGATGATTAATAAAATTTAGAAAATTTACCATTAAACTAACTATAATCAAAAGTATCTATAACAAGCAGTGTTAATCCAATAGGGGGAGGTTTATAAATGAAAAAAGTAGTATCTATAACAAAAGACGGGATAACAGAGCCATATTTTGATTTTCAAAACTAAGTATCATTTACTCCTAAAAAACTAAACCCAAGCCAACAATTCTTCTTTAATAATTTAGGAGGAGGATGTGTGTAATAAAATTAAACGTTCGATACATTTAATAATCCTTAATTATTATTGAATACATAACCTAGTTTTAGTATAGATTATAATCCTTATTTATTTGCTAATAACTCTTATTTTAATTAAGGAAATATTAACCAAAATAATAACTAACCGAATATATTTTTCAGGGAAAACTCTTTTTCTTTTAAAGCAAATAATAATCCTAATAATTATTTTAGACAAAATGATGATAAAATTAACAATTATGTTGACCAAAATGAAGCTCCTTACATAACTTAACATAAATCATATCAAAACTTAAATGATAATAATCCAAACAATAATAATTTATTATAAAATAATTAAAATAATATAAGTGATGACCATGCTTAAAATGATAATGAAGATGAAGTTTTGGAAAGCCATACAAGGCACAAAACTGAATGGCCTGTTAGAATGAAAGGACAAAATAAATATTAGCAATGTAGACATAGAAACATATTTAAAAATTTCGGAAACATTTTCAGGAAGTTTGTTAATTTCCATACACATTTTACACAAAAATCCTTACATAGATTAGAAAATAATTTGCATAAATTAAAAGAATTTCAAAAATGGCTAAAAAAAGATATTAGATTTGAAAATAAAAAAGATTTTATTGATGGTTGGACTATTTGGGCTGACGAAAATTAATAAAGTAGATAATTTAAAATTATACTTAAAGAGTTGTCTAAGGATTTTTTTTAAGACTATATTCTTATTTATTTACTTAATAGTAAATTGCAAGACCTTGAAATTCATTTAAGATCTATTGGTCCTTGTCTCAGTGCTATTAATAATCCTAGTTAATTATATAAATTTAGACCTATTTGATATTGAAACTATTTTTATTTTAAATATTAATATATAAATATACAGGTAATTTCAAAATATTTACAAACACAAAAATTAAATAAAAAAATTTATTTATATAATATTAACTTCATATTATTAAGAATTAGTATAATAAGATGCGAAAATTAACATTATGACAATTTTCACAATATATAATATTATTAATATATAATTCTATTTAAATAATATATCAGTGTTGTAAATATTTTGACGTTACGACGTTACCTATATATTATCAACTTTTTTAGATATAATTATAATTAAATGAAATTTATTTTATTATTTTATTAGTTTTTTATGTATTTTATTTTAATTTTTATTTTTTTATAAAATCTTTTATATTTTATTAAATATATTTATCCAATTAATATTTTTATATTATATTTTTATAATGATTTTTTTCCAACCCAATAATAGATTTATCAAAAACTATAATTAAAAAATTATGATAATTCTCTAAAAGAATTACATGTCATTAAAACTTTTAAAATAATACTTTTAGTATTATTTTAGAAAATTATAATATATTTAAAATTAAGTACTTTCAAATTAGTTATAAATTATATTCCTTTTAATTGAATTAATATTTAAAAAAAAAAAAAAATTAATTCATTCGAAAAAAAAAAAAATCATTTTTTTAAGGCAAGCGAAGTTTTTGTAAAAATAAATAACTTAAATGATTTATATATTATAATTTAAAACAATATTTTATTAAAATAAATATGATAAATTTCATATTCTTATAAAAGTTTATTTTTAAAAAATTTAATTTACTTTTTTTTTTTTTCTTTCTTTAATTTTTTTTCTTATTTTTAATTAATATATATTCAGTCATTACTTTTAATTTAGATTAATCTTATATTCTTTTGGAATAAAATGAAGATATTAAAAATAATTAATATATTAATACTATTAGCTAATAATTTATATTTTTTTAAATTTTTATTATAAATAAAAGATTATTATTTGATTAATTAATATTAAAGCTCTCCTAGCAATTGTAAAATAAAAATTAGTGACTTATAATTTGATTAAATAGTTAATTTAATTTTAACAAATTCAAAAGAATATATTCTTAACAATAAAGCTAATAATTTTTTAATTATGAAATTCATAATTTTTTACTTATGTCTATCCCTTAATTACATCTGTTTATGAATATTAATTAGTCAAATTGTATAAATAATTAAAAAAAATATATATTTTTGCAATAAATAATTATATTTATTCTAAAAATGATTTTTTTAAAGTTTTAAAAATAAAAAATTCAATTGTGAGAATTTTAACAATTTTACTACAACTTTTTATTTCTAAACTCATTTTAAAAAATAAATCAAACAAAAATAATGGTTAAAATTAAAAATTTATATATAGTCAGTACATTAGTATTTTTCGATTGTATTAACTTTTTAATTGTTGTTAATAATATAATCTCTAATATATAAAAATTATAAAATAAAAAGTAAAAAAAGAAAATATTTATAAGTATTAACAAAAATATTAATTAATGTCAAATTCAGCCGGCCATATATATTTTCAAATTAATGTATTAAAAAAAAAAAAATATTATAAAAGAAGAAAGAAGAGTATGATAATTGCTAATTATTTTATTCAATATATAAAGTTTTATAAGTAAAATAAGTATATAGAATATATATAGAATATAGATCATTAAAAAACAGAATAAAAAATTTAAAGACAAAAATTAAAAAGAAAGAAAAATAAAGGGGGGGGAAAAGATTTAAATAAAATATTTAAATGAAAAAAAAGCTGTTAAATGAATTAAATAAATTTGGTGACTTTTAAAATGAAAAGTTTCGTAAATACGAATAATAATTTTAAAGTATAGAAAACAAATTAATTTTTAAAATAAATAAAATTAAGAACTTTAGAATGTTTAGGGAAGCGGATGAAAAATTAGTCCCTTTATAGTTGTAAATAATATTATGAAGTATTGAATTCGATAAAAGAATAATAATAATTGTTATTATAATAATGCTATTAATATAAATTAAAAAAGAATATGTTATTATTTTATTTTAAAAAAAGATTTTTAGAGATAAACAAAATTAAGTATTATAAAATATAATTAATTGAAATATAATAAAATTCAAATTACATTAAATATAATTATTAAAAGATTACTCCGAAAATATTAGAAAGTTAATATAAAGAAGAAATAATAGCCTATTTTAAAACAATAATAAAAGTAAAAAAATATTTAGATTTTTTAATTTTTAACATTATTATAATTTATTTTAAAAAAGAACATAATTTGATTTTCAAAATATTAACAAATGTTAAAATAAAATCATAAATTCATTATATATTTAAAAATTCTATTAAAATTAAAATAAATATTTTAATCTTAAATTAGAATTAGATTTATTGTATATTATAAGAATCTTATTAATAATATATGCAATATAGTAAAATTTTTTTAAATATTGGCTATTATTTTTTATAATTCAATTTGGTGTTACTCTAGTTTTAGGTGTTGTAATATTATAAGATTCAAAAGTAATTTACAAGCAATTTTTATCATATGGCATTTATAAAAAAAGTCTAATTTTTTTATACTTATATTATATTAAAATATATAAATATTAATTAAATAATAGAAATAAAAAATACTCTTTTTCTTGTCTTTTTTAATGAACTTGATTAGAAAATAATTAAATTTCGAATTGAATCTTTAAAACTAAGAGAAATTTAGTAATAAACGATTGCTTTTTTTTATTTTATATTTTAAATTAAATATTTATTTTTTTTTAAATACCATTATATCCTTACTTTATTATAAAAACGCCTTGAACTAACGATAATTTTTTAACTTAGACTTTTTTAATACAAATAATTGATTTGCACGTCAAAACTATTTAATCAGTCTTTTTAATTTAATAATAAAAATAATAATAATTATTATTTATTGAAACTAATTAAATTATTTTTTACATGTCTATCTAAATCTAAGTTTTCTATATTTTTAGAAAAACAAAAGCATATTCCTAACAATATAATAAAAACACTAATTGTATATTACCACCAAGCTCTTTAATTATAATTTATATTTTTTTATTTTCATTCAAAAAATAAATTATGTTATTCTTATTATAATATGTATATTTTATATATTTTAACTATTCATTAAATCCGGCTATACTTATTTCAGGATAGTATGTTGCAAGGTTAAATATTAAGAAGATACCTCCCAAAATAAATATTATTCCACAAGACCATATAAGATAAGGAATATTTTTTAATGATAATTTTGGCTGTCTTAATAATTTTTAGGATTTAATTTATAAATTTTTTTATTTTATATAATTTTTTTCAGTTTCCACTTTTTAATATTTATTTTTTATAGTATAAAAAATAAAAATATAGAATAATTATATATTCTACATATTTATGCTATCCTTGAAGATTTATGACCTAAATTTTTATTTCCCATACCTCCTATGCCTATTATCATTTTATTATTTAAGATTTATTTTATTAAAGGTTGTAATAAAAAAAGTAATAATTTATAAAATAATTTACTTGAAAATAAAAAATAAATTTAAAATGAATAGTTATAAAAAATTCAATATAAATAAAATTTATTGTAATTAATATAATAAATTTTTAAATAAAATATTAAATATAAAAATTGAATTAGTTATTAACAGATTTTTCTCCAATATAATCTTGAAAATTAACAATAATAAACCAAAACCTAAACGAGAATGAATATATTTAAATAAACTAAATTAAAATCAAATTTATAAAAAGGCTTTCCTGAATGTCCTACTCAAATATTAAACATAAATAAAATTTTAGAATTTATAGATTTTTTATTACAAAATTTAAAATGGTTTTTTTTTTTTTTGACTGAAAACTGTATTATTGTATTTATAAATGTACATCAAATTTAAATAAAGAAAAATTTCAATATATTATATGAAAAAACATGCTCTGAGTTAATTAATTTTCCAAAGCCTTCTTTGTACTTACTCTTCTCTTTACTGAATTTTTCTTTAAAAAATGTGTAATTCAAGAAATTATGCCAAGAATTAAAGTTCTTTAAAATCAATAAACTGATATTTTTAATAAAAATAAACTATATTCTTTAATTAAAAAAAATATTTTTGTTATTGAAAATAAAAGTGATATAAAAAAATAAATTAATTTTTTGAAAATTAAAAGACTAAAAATATTTTGTTTTAAAATGTCTTAAAATATTATGTTTTAAGGGAATCTCTAAATTTTGTATTTTAACAAATATTTACTAATCTTTTAGGAGGTCAAACAGTTTTTTTAAAAGGTTAATCATTTGCAATTTTTTGAATGTTTAATCAGAACATCTTTTAGAAAATAAATTAATTTTTAAAATGAAAGAGGTGAAAAATTCAGGGTTATTTAAAGTATTTTTACCTATTTAACGACATATTATTTATTATTAGAAAATTTATGAATATTTATGTAAATTTGTTAGTTCAATAATTAATTTTATAAAAAAAACTTTAATAACTATATATATAAAATTCTTTTCTTTTATTAAATAATTAATTTTTTTATAAAAAAAAATTAATAATTAATTTATTTTGCGTAAATAAAAATAAAACTCTTTATAAAAAAAAAAGTTTCAATAAAAATAAAAATGAGATTTTATTTATATTTTTTAATAATTTCTTTTTTAATTTTTTAAATATAAAATAAACTAACAATAATAAGTCCTCAATAATTATAAGATGAAATAAGTTTTTTATTTAAAAAAATCATACATATTTAAATTAAAAAAAAAAAAAAAAAAGCTGAGATAAATTATAATTTAGCTAACTATGGTCATATCCCATATGGAAAATCTTTATAAGGAACATTATATTTACCTGAAACAGAAAATAATTCAAGTGAATAAGATTACAAGGCATGTTCTTTAATAAAGGATAACCATCGTGTAAAATAAAAATATAATACAGCATAAAAAGAAAAAAAAAGTTAAACTAATAAGATTAATAAAATGATATATATCCCATTTATTTAATCAAAAGAGGAAAATGTTCTTTTGTGTAAAAAAGTTATTATGCTTAGCTTGCAGGAGCTAAGCTTGCAATAATTTTTGATGATAAAGAAGATGAAAAAATTTAGTAAGTCATTTTAATGGATGATCATTGTAATTAAATAAATTAATAAATAAAAAAATAAATATATAAAAAAGCATAAAAATTAATGATTACTACATTATTTATAAATTATAAACATGGAAACACATTAAAGAAATATCTTCTTGAAAATTAGCGAATTTAGTTAAGAATAGATTTTGAATAAGTAAGTATTTTTATTTATTTTTATTATTAGAAATAATTAAAAAAAGCCTCCATTATAGAATAATACTCAAATAACTATTTTTATAAGCCCTTTAGATAAATACTCGCATTTATTTATAAGAAATTTAAAAAACAATTATAATGAATTAAAAAAATAAAATAATAATATTTAATTATAAGTTAATTATGCAGTTAAACCAAATAAAGATTCCTAAAAAGAAAACTTTTAAAAGCCTTACGAAAATTGTTTATCAAATGGAAGATATTGCTCGGCCTAAAAAGGTATTATACAAAAGAAGAAAAAAAATATATAAATTATTTAAAATATATATTTACATTTATTTATTAAAATTAAAGAATTATCAGCTATATAAAGTAAATAAACAATATAAGAAGTCTTAAGATAATGCATAATATATTAAAAATTATCGTCTTAATGGTGGGACTATGTCATTTAATTTGGTAACAATTGCATTGATTCTGATGATATTAATGAATGTTCACAAAAAGTGATGAAATAGTTAGAATTTACATCTGAATAAATAAAAAATATAGAATAGGAATATAAATTGACATTTATATAAACAAATAATGAATTAAACGAATAAATAAATGACAATTTAATACTTAGATAATAGGAAATTCTTTTTAGCTCAGTTAATATGTATCCATATTAATAGTTAACAATAAATCATTTAGAGTAAATTTAAAAAATAATAATATATATATATAGAAAATAATAAATAAAAAGGGAGACATTACTAATGAATCATCAATTTATGAATATATTTGTTCCAGCTTTATAACATTACCTTAGTATTGTAAAAACTCTTATGATAATTGGATTAATTTTAAAGATGGTAATTTTTTTTTTTTTTTTTTTTAAATTAATTTTTTTTTTTTTAGATCCTTTTTATGGTCTTCATGATGAATATAAAAGTAGTCTTTTAGCTTATTTACTTTTTACTATAGCTATTTTTTATTAATGGGTATAGTTTTTTGTATTTATAAAAGAACTACTTAAAAAAATATGTAAGAATAAATTAATTAGTAGGTTAATATTGCTATTACTAAATATTTTGCTTTAAATGATGAAATTTCAAAATGATTTTTATTTTTTATTTTTTTCTTTATTTAATTTAAAATTTATAAATATAGTTATTATTTAAAAGTTTTTAAAAATCTTTTTTTTATTTAATTTTAATTAATATTTATATGAAAATATCATATTTTCTGTTATATGAAAACAAAAATAATAACTTTTATAAAAATGAAAAATTCGTTAATTATTTAAAATAATAATTAGTTAAAAATATATAATTTAAAATAGTTAATCGAATTAAAATATATTTAAATTTAGTGAATTAAAAAAAAAAAATATTAAGAAAAATTTAATATTTTTATACTTTAAAAATATGGTTAAATAAATAAAATTATAAAATATATTATTATGATTCTAATTTTTTTTGAAATAAAACTTTATTATATTATATTTAATATGTATTTTTTTGTTATAATTCAATAATATTTTTTAATTTACAATTTATTTTTTATTTTTTTTATAAAATTATTTTTATTTTATATGCTTTTTAAATTTTTTTATAAAAATAAATACAGTTTTATTATTTTTAATATATTATACATCTATAAATATTAAAAAAGACATGATAAAAATTTACAATATTTTTATTTAGAAAGAAAGAAAATATAATAAATATTATTAACAAAAAAAAAAAAAAAACAAATATAAAATCCAAAATAATTCTAATAATGTCTGTAAAAAACTCAAAATTTTTAAAATAAAACTTCAATAATAAAAAAAAATAGAATCTTCTTTCATTAGAAAATTTTAACGAAAATTCTCACAAATAGCCAATTTTAAATAGTCCTAGATCTTTAGAAGCTTGTAAAAGATAAGGAATAAGGCCTTAAGAACTAATAGTAAAAACATAGTAGGAAATAAAATAATTATACAAAGATAAAAGCTTGGACAAAAAATCTTTAGAACTAAAATAAAATCATTGCGAAGAACGTAGAAAAGAAAAAATACGCATTTTATTAGAAGAAAGAGCATAAATAATAGAAGAAGAAAAAATGGGCTTATGGGAATATGATGATTAAGGTTAAATACGAGTAAGAAAATTATTTAATCATACAAATTTATTAAATTATATTTAGTATAACAAACATAGTTAAAGTAAAATAGGAAATAAATATTAAAGTTCAATAGGAGCAAGCAATTCTTCAGTTATTGAGAGAGAAAAAAGATAACTTGAAAAAATAAAACTTCGATAAGTAAAAAAATCATTATTTTATGATTTTCATTGAATTTAATAATTATATATATATTTCCATTTTTATAAATAAACTAAGTTTATAAAAAGTAAAAAGAAATAGAATAAATGCTTGATCATGAAGTAAAAATGTAATAAATTAGATAATAAAATGAGTAAAAATAATAATTGGAAAGAAATAAAGAATTAGAAAGGGAACATGAATTAATGATAAAAAGAAAAGAAGTAAATAAATTCATTAATTTTTGTTTAATATAAAAAAACAAAATATAGCAAGAAGAATTAAAGAGACAAATGGAAATAGAATAAAGGTAGAAACAAGAGAAATTGGAATAAGAATAAAAATAAAGGCAATTATTAATGTATCAAAAAGAATAAATAAAAGCCCAATAAGAAGAAGAAAGAAGAAAAGAAAGAGAGCGAGAATATATTTAAAGAGAAGAAGAAAGAAAATAGAAATAATTAGAATTTTAGCAATAAATAGAAGAAAAACTATAATAATAATATTAAATAGCGGAAGAAAAACGTATGTTAATGGAATAAAAGGAATAAATAAGATTAATGGTTTTTTTTTTTTTTTTTTTATAAATTATTATTTAAAAAAAAAAATGAAAAGTCTTTATAAGAAAAAACAAAATAATAAGCAATATAAGCAGAAGCAAAAAGATTATAACAATTAGAAAAATTAAAAGCAGCAAAATAAAAGAACGAATAAGAATTGTATAAAATAAGAGAAAACTATGAATTAAAATAAAAATAAAATGAAGAAAAAAGACATATTTAAGAAATAGAAAGATAATAATAATTTGAATAAGCGAAAAAAAGATAAGAATAAAACGCTATTTAATTAAAATAAATTTTAGTAATAAATTATATTAAAATGATTTTTTAAATTTAAAATAAATAAGGAAAATGCTACATTAAAAGAAGAAGAAAGAAGAAATGAATATTTAAGAAAAATGACAGAGGCAGAATAAAGAAAAATATAATTAGAATAGGAATAAGAAATCGAAAGATAAAAATAAATTTAATTAGAACATGAAAAGGAACTTTAACGATAATAAGTTTTAATATATATAAACATGCATATATAAATAATTATTTTAATAGGTAAAAAGTAATAATGAAAAGTTAATGAAAGAAAAAGTAGAATAATTAGAAGAAAAATATAGAGAAAAAGAATAAAATGTTTAAAAAGTTTAATATATAAAATAAGCTTAATTAATAGATAAAACAAATATTGAAAGTATAAAAAGAGCTGATAGGCAAGAAAATGTATAAAGAATTCAAAGAATGCAAGAATATCAAAGATAATAATTAAATTAATAAATAAAAGAAAAAATGAGTCATGCAGAATATATAATGATAGAAAAATAATAACTATTAGAATAAAGAGCTTTAATGAGAAAATAAATAGAGGAATAAAAAAGAGTTTTAAGTGAGAAAATGGAAAAAGTTCGTTTGGGAAAAGTATTTTAAAAATAATAAATAAATATCATTTTTCTTTTTCTTTTTTTTTAAATATAAAAAAAGATAGACCCTAAATAAGTAATAAGTTAATTTAAAAATGAATCATAATATTAAAATAATGATTCAGTATAAAAAAAATCAACTTATAGTAATAAAAATGGTATATACTTATTTTATTTTATTTTTATTTATTTAATACAAAAATTATATTACTTTTTTAAAATAGAAAAAAATAACTCAATTAATGAAATTTCTAAAGACAGGCCTTAATCAAAAAATACTCAGAAAAACAATAATGGTAGTTATAAAAAATAAGGACCAAATTAATAAGATAATTCTTCTAATAAATAAACAAATGATTTAAATAAATAAATTGAAGATATTAAAATTAGATAAAATCAAGAAATGCTATAATTATTAGAAGAAGAATAAAATGCGGAATAAGAAAGGGAAGAAATGATGGAAAGGGTTGAAGATCCTTCAGAATAAAGAAGATTGGAGAAAATTTTTGGAATGGAAAGAGCAAAAGCATAAGCAAGAATATAAAAATTATCAGAGTAAACAAATAAAATTTATTATATTATTTAATTAGTTTTTTTTTTTTTTTTTTTTTTTGTAAAAAAATAGCCAACATGATTAAGAATTAAAAAGAAAGTAAAATAAAAATTGAATATATACATTTAAAATATAAAACAAATTTATTTCTTACTTAATATAATATTTTTATATTTAAGATAATATAAATATTTTGGAAATATGAATTTTTTCTAAAAAAATATCTACTTATATAAAATTTATAAATATTTTTGTTTCATTTTAAAAAATAAACATCTATTATATTATTATTTTTAATTCTAAATAATTATAATAAAAGCGTAAGTGGCCGAGTGGTTAAGGCGTGCGGTTCAGGTCCGCATGTGGCAACACGCGCAGGTTCGAACCCTGCCTTACGCATATTTTTACTTTTTTATTTAAATTTTATATTGTTTATAATAAAAATGAAATTTTTATTTAGTTTTTATTTTTTGTTTAGTAAATTTAATTTGAATAAAGTTATTTTTTTAATATTTAGAAGAATAAAATGTTATAAAATATGATATCTCTCTTTTTAGATTAATATTTTTTTTTAAAAAGATATGAATAAATAACAAAATCTATAAATTACAATTATCATTTAACTTTTTTTATTAAATTAATAGAATAATTTTAAATATATATTGTGAAGAATTTTTTTTTTTAAATTATTAACCTAAAAAAATATTAAAATATTATACATTTAGTAAAATAAAACAATATTATATATCAAATATTAGGGATTAACCGTATGTAAAAAATTTATATACGGCTATATAAAGTAGTTTCAAATCTCTCTTTTTTTAGAATAATGTATTCTCTCATTATTTTTAAGAAAATATAAATATTTATTTAAGGTTTAAGAATACTATTATAAATATCGAAATTTATTTTTAAACTTTTTTTTGTTAATTTTATATAATTATAGTAAAATGAATAAGATTTTTTTGTATGTATATAAAAAAGATCCTTAGATAACTAAGATATATTGTTTAATATTATATATAAGTAGAATTCTTCCTTATATATCCTTCTGTCTATAATCTATCCATCAATCTAAATTAGTATAAATTTATTATATCTTTTATCTATTTATATTTTCTTTGCTTTATTATAGATTAATTTAATTAATGATCATGTAAAGTTAATTCGACTATAATTTATTAATAATAATTGGTAATTCATGTTTATATTAGTATATAATTTTAATTTTTGAATTAATTTAATAATATAATCTTATGTTATTAAGACTTTAATTACAATTTAATAATAAAATACATAAATGTTTTTTGCTATTAATACTTATAGTTAGTTAATTTGATTTATTTATTATATTATTTTTAATATATTTCATTTATTTATTACCTATACAAAATATAAATATAAATATAAAATATAAATATTTTTTATATATATAAATATATATATAAAATAAATTTTTATATATTTTTATTTTAATTTTTTATATTTAAGTAATTATTAATTTATTTATTTATTTTTACTATTAAATATATAATATAATTTTTATATTTTTATGTTTTATTTCATTTAATTATCCATTTTTAATTATTTTATTTCAATAAATATATAATTTTAACTAATTATATATTTAAATATTTATATACATTTATTATAACTATTATATATGATTTTTATATACTTATTTTAATTATTTATATGTATTCTTTTCATTATTTTTTTTAATTTTTTATTATTTTTAAATATGTAATCAAAACATCCTTTGATAATATTTATTAAATAATTTTTTTTTATTAAATTATTGAAAAAATTAATTATAATAATAAATTTATTTTTTAATATTGTAATCCTTTTTCATATATTTTTTATTATATTATTATCTTATTTTTAAGTTAATTTATTTAAGTTTTAAAATTTTAAAAATTAATAAACTAAAAATAATTAAATACTAAGAATATTTTGAATTTTACTTATAAAAATAATAATTTTTTTTTAATTTAAAAAAAATTAAATAAATTATTCTACATATAATTATAATATTATTTATTTATCATATAAATATTTAAATTTTATATTGCAATAAACATTTTATAATTATAAAATATAAATATATTGTTTATCTCATAATTTAATATTTTTATTTTTTAAATTATTATTAACAAAATAAAATTTAAATAAACGATTAGTTTAAATTATAATTTATTTGGTTTTTTTCACTTAATTTTTTTTTTACATAATTTTATTATACAATTTATTTGATTTATTTGTATTTACTAAAAATTTAATTCTATTTTATTTAATTTTAATATAAAATTTTATTATTTATTAAAATAATTTATCAATTATATATTTATATTTTAAATTTAATATTTTTTATTACATTTATTATGCTTAATTAGCAACAAAAATATTAATATTATTTTAAAAATATCAGTGTAGTTAATATTATTTATTAAATAAATTATTTTTTAAAAAGAAATTTATACAGATTTAATACTCTTAAGTTTATTTAATAAATTTATATTATTAATAAAATTAAATTATATATGTTTTAAAATAATAAAAATAATATTCATTTTTTTTATTTAAGTAAATTCTTTATACTAATTTTAAACACAAAATTTTACTTTATAATTTTTTTATTAATTTACCTTTTTAAATTTATTCAATTTTTTTTTTTATTATTTTATTTTATTAACCAATCAATAATAAGGCTAATATTATCACCTTTAAGTGCACTTACCATAACCACAATCCATGGATTAGTTGTAACATAATCTAAATTCATACCTTCAATAATTTCTTTTTCACTTAAATGACCTTTTAAATCTATTTTATTTCCAACAATTAAAATAGGTATATTTTATAATTCTTTATCTTCCAATAATGTATGTAGTTCTCTTTTTGAAATAGCTTATGTATCTCGCTTTTTTACCAAAAATAGTTATAATTAAAAATAATAATAAAATATAATTATATATTTTTTTATACGTTAGATGTGTCAATTACAAATAAAATTGCATCAGCATCTCTTGTATATAACCCCCATTCACTTCTATATTATACTTATCCACCTATATCCCACATTTTCATTTTTATTCCTCCTTTTTAAATTGTTTTACATTTAAACCAATTGTTGGGGCTGTTATCTATGGATTTCCCATTGAAAGCTAATTTAAAATTGTTGTTTTTCCACTATTCTCAATACCAATCATAACTATTTCCATTTTTGAAGTTGAAAAAAAATTTTTTAACTTATCGATTAAGTTTCCCATTTTTATTTTTGATATTTTTTTATTATTTATTTATTTATTTAAAAAAAATATAAGTAAATTTATATATTAATTTATTTGATTTTTAATAAGTTTTTTTTATTTATTTTAGGTTATTATAGATAATAGATTATTAAAATGAGTTATTTAATCATACTAATAAAATATGGTATGACCTAATTATTTATTTAAAAAATATTAAAATTAAAAACTAAAAAACATCAAATTTTTTTTAATTTTATATAAAAATAAAATTAATATTTTATGTTATATTAAGTCAATATATTTTATTATTACATAATGATATATAGCTATATACAAACCTCCATAATAAAAGTTAATTAATATATACATTGTATTCAAAGTTATACCTAATATTAAAAATGAATTTAAAATTAAGTCTAAAAATTATTTATATTTAGATATATTATATATATAAATAAATAAATAAGTATATTATCCCATAAAAATTTTAATTTTATATGTATTACATTAATTTTTTATTTTAATAGAATAGGCATTATATTATTAAATTAGAATTTATGTTAAAATTTGAGGATTATAAATTTAAGATACAAAAAATAAAAATAGTTAAGGGCAATTTTTTATTAAAAAAAATATTTAAAATAATAAAAAAAATGTTATTATATTTAAAATTAAAATAAAATATTTTATTTATATATTTATTAATATAATATTTTAATAAATAATTTTATTACAATATATATATATATTTTTAATTTTTAATTATATTTATTATGTAAATTTTGAAAATATAAAAAAGCAAATGATATAATTAATTATTAAAATGACTAATATATTTTTAAAAAATATATTTTTTCAATAAACTTTATACTAATAATAAATTATTTTATCATTCTTTACCTTTTTGACATCCTTATCTTTATTTTTCTTATTTTCTTATTTTCTTTATTTTCTTTTCTTTCTTAATTTTCATTTTTTACCTTTTTTTACTTTTTTACTTTTTATACTTTTTTTCCTTTTTATTATTTACATTTTTATTTATTTCTTCTTTCTTTCGTTTCTTTTTGTTTTTTCGTTTTCTTTCATTTCTTTTTTGTTTTTTAATTTATTCAATTTTTTTAAAAAAATTTTTTACAATTATTAACTTTGATCATTATATCTTTATAACCTTTAGTATTTAAAGAAACAGTCTACATTCTAACTTTATCAGTTTTATCTTACTTAATTAAATATTAAGCATTTAATTTAGCTTCTTCGGCCAAAGGTTTTTATGCATTTAATCTTTACAAACCATTAGCTAAAGTTATAGTATTTTATCATGTTGTTTAACTTGGCTAATTATATTTATTCCTTATAACTTAAAAATAGATGATAAACTACTGCAATCAATATATTATGAAACAAGTTAAAATTATAATTGAAATTAGATTTATTATTTTGGAATTTTTATTGTTCAATGATAATAAATGAACAATAATAAAATAAAATATATAAGATTATAAATAAAATAAATTTTATTAAACTGCTTTTGATTTATCATGTTTTATGAAAACTAAAACCATATTTTATGAAAACTCAAAAATAAATATTTAATCTAATTTAAATAAATATATTTTTTTTTTGTATAAAAGCTTAAATATAAATGTATAAAAAAATTTAAATGAGCCCTAACATAATATATCTAAATCAAGAAATTTCAGAAAAAATATTAATTATGTAAAATTTGATATTCCAATAAAAAATGAATCACTATTTATATATTAAATAAGTATATGGGTTAATAAATTATACTTATACTATCTATTATTGTGGAATTTTTTATATTCATATTACTATTAGGCCTGAAAATTTAATGTAATTCCCCTTAATTACGAAAAAAAAAAACTTTGATTGGTATTATAGGGTATATGTTTAATAAAATAAATAAAATAGACTATTAGAAAATAAAATAAAAATTTAAAATGTATATATGATTTTCAATATAAACTTAAGTTAATTAATTAAGTAATGTAATAAAGTTTAAACTTTATAATAATAAATAAATTATAAAAAAAATTTAGATTTTTTTTTTTATTTTATTTCGAAGTCCTTAATATTTAATTTTTTGGCTTTCTTAAAATAAATTAATTTGATAATTTTCTTGATATTTTTTTTTATGTAATTAATTATTATTATTATTTGAAAAAAATAATTAGCTTATATTTAAATAAATCTATTTTAAAATTATTTATTTTTTTAAATTTTAAAAGTTAATTATCATTTTTTCTTTGCCGTATAAAATAATTTTATCAATAGTCAAATTATTAAAAAACAAAATTATTTGTAATAATTTAGCAGAAAATAAATATAGGTTCTTATATTTTTAAATCCGAAAATTATATATAAATATAAAGAGTTAAATCAAAGCAAAAGATGTCATAATTTTAATTATAATCTAAAATCATATATGGAAACAGTTTATAAATACATTAAAGAATTTTCAAGAGTTATTGAAGATTTATAATAATTGATAGAGAAAAATTTAAATAACTCAAAGACGTGGCAAAATAATTATTACATAAATATTCTGGATTATGAATATTTGAATTAGTAAAATATATTGTTAATTAATCATCTTAGTTAGTTTTATTTATACATTTTTTAATTTATTTAAATAGTTTTTTATTATTTACATTTTTTTTATATAATACTTTTATATTTAATTTTTTTTGAATTTTATGGTAACTAAATATTTTATTTTAATATATTGATAATAATCTAAAAAATAATGAAGATATATCAAAATAATAAATTTTACATATTTTAAATATTAAATAAACAATTATGTTTTAGTTTAAAAAGAAAAAAAAAGTATTATATAATATAAAATTATCATTTTGATATCTTATATTTTAAAGTAAATATATATAAATAGTACAAAAATAAGTTTCATCTATTTTAATTTTTTTTATTATTTTACTACTTATTAACATTTTATTGAGTTGTCTATTCATTAAATATTTCCTAAAAAAAAAAAAAAAAAAAAAAAAAAATTATTTATTTTTTCATAAATAAAAAACTTCTTTATCATTTTTCTATTAAGAATACCAATCCCAATTATAATCATGCGAATATTTTTATTAAGCCATAAAATTTTTAAAAAGTTACCTACAACTCGTATAATTAGGTTTTTCTTCAAATTTGAGGTTTTTTGTATAATTTAGATAAGTAAGAAATTAATCAGGACATCCTTTACATAATTCTTCTGATGAAATTCCCAATTTTTTTACTTTTATTTATTCATATTTTTCTTTCTTATCTTTAGCTCTAATATTTTACCAAGGAAGTTGTCCTTTTAAAAAATATATAAATAAATAAGCCAAACTTTCTAAATCATCCCTTCTAGACTATTCAATTCCTACATGTGTATTAATAGATGCATATCTAGCTGTCCCGGTTAAATTTTTGCCATCTTTATAAGGAATATGCTAATTATTTTTTTAATATCTTTTTGCTAAACCATAATCTATCATAAAAACGATTTCTTTACTATCTCCTGCTCCAATAAGAAAATTATCAGGTTTTATATCTCTATGAAGGAAATTTCTAGAATGTAAAAATTCAATTCTATGCAACATTTAATCGGCTAACATTAGTATCGTTTTTAAAGAAAAAACCTTTTTATTTTAAACAAATAAAGACTCTAATGATAGTCCTAATAAATCAATTATCATTAAATTATAATTTTCTGATTATCCAAAATAATAACATTGTGGAATTCCTTAAACAGGTTTGTTATCTCGACTATTATTATGTAAATAATTTATTAATTTTCCTTCATATATTATTTAAGGGTGACGGGTATCTGATCTTTCAATTTTGCAAGCATATTCTTTGTTTGATTGCAAGTCAATTGTTTTATATATTACTCCGAATGCTCCGTTTCCTAATTTTTGTATTAATTTGTATTATTCGCAAAATATTCGGCCTTCTAAATTATTTGTGTCTTGTTGAATTTGTGTTTAAATTTGGGTATTATTGTTGGTTTATTGTTGCATTTTTTTAATTATTATTTTTATTTTTTGGAGCTGTTTTTAATTTATACAAGAAATAATAAAATAAATATTTTTTTTTTTGACTTTATTTATTAAAATGAAAAAATTAAATTTTTATATTTTTTTATTTTATTTTTATTTTTTTAAAAAAAAATGATTCTAAAATAATATATATGATTTCAGAAATATATTTATTTTAAATTTTTTTAAAAAGTAAATTTTTGTTCTATTATATAAAGTAGATAAAATATGTATATATATATATATATCTAAGTTATTTATGTTAATATAAATATTTTATTAAGAACAAAAAACTCAATTATACATAATATTAATTGTCTTATTCAAAATAATTTCCCTAATAAAAGTTATTTATTAAGAATTGTTTTCATATTTAAGCTTGTTCCTTCAGGAAACAAGCTTTGTAAATTAGCTTAAGCGCTATGCTTATTAATTTTTAATTCAAATCGGATGCTCTAACATATATTTTTGTATAACTAAATTATATGATCGAAAAATATGAATACTCTTCCTAAATTATAATTTTGACGTATTTTTGTAGCAGTTAGTATATTTTACCATACCTTTTTAATTGAATTAGGAAATTTAATTGTGATTTTATCAAGTATATTAATAGAACATTACGATTTTTATCATTTATTTAATTTTATTATAATAGTATATAATATATAAGTAATTATAAATTTTTGTAATATATTTTATTAATGTTTTATATATTATTTATATTTATAAAAAATTATAATTTTTATACTAATATATATATATATAAATTTAGTTCATTCTTATTATTATTCGTTTTATTATTATTATTACTATTCTTCTTATAATCTTCTTTCTTCTTCTTCTTATTTTTTTCTTTCCTCTTCTTCCTATCTTTATCTTTCTTATTCTTCAATTCTTTCTTTTAACTTATCTCTAGCAGCTACTACTTCATCTTCTTCAACAGGTTCCTTGTTGATTCTTTTTAATTAGTTCATAAGCATAATGAGTTCTTCTTTAATATTATAACCCCCGTTTTCAGTCATTTCAGTTGCCAAAACATTAACTTAAGCTAAAACAGGAAAAGCTTAAAGAAATTTCATTTAAGAAAGGTCTTCGAATTTACATTCTCTAAAATTGATATAATTTAACAAAGGAAATACTGGTACATGTTAATTTTCTAAAATTTCTAAAGATTTTAATGGATTTTTTCTCAAATGAAGAATTTTCAAATGAGGTAATTTACCTAAATCATTAATATTAGTAATATTATTTTCTGCTACATATAAGCATTATAAATTTGGAGAATTCTCGATTCCTTTCAAATCAGAAAGTTTGTTTTTTCTCATTTCTAAAATCGCTAATGTATGATGCCCTCTGAATTCTTAACAGGTAGTTATTTCATTTTTATTCAAATTTAACTTTTATAAACTTCGCAATTTAAAAGGAGTTAATTGGGTTAATTTGTTTCCACTAAGATTTAGTTCTTAGAGGAAATTTAATGTATTGGGAATGTTAAATACACTTAAGGAATCTATTTGGTTATTGCTTAAGTTTAAATGAGTTAAATATTTGATTTTTGTTATAGTATGAATGTCTGTTATTAGATTATTAGAAAAATTTATAAATCTTAAATTTTCATATTATGTTAATAATTCGAATAAATCTCGGATATTCTTGCGTTCGCATATTAAATTTGTATATGAATGATTTTTACCATTTGATATCTTTCCTATTTTTTCTAATCCTTGCTTTAGTATACTATGAGTTTAGTTTATTTGTACTTCTATTGGTGGATATATATCATCTTATTCTATTTCAGGTTCTTCTTCTATTTTTTATTGTTATTCTCCATCTTCATTTTCAATGTTTTATTCGGACATTTTATTTTTTATTTTATTAATAATATTTTTATAAATAAAAACTGTTATTTTTTTATTATTATTTTTTTTATTATTATTTTTTTTATATTTTTTTTTTTTAAGATATAAAACAATTAAAAAATGAAGTAAAGGATATTTATCAATTAAAATAAAGCATTTTCTTTATTTATTTATATTTTAACTAAAATCTAAAATATTTCTACTTTAAGTATTTTAAGTAAAAAAAAATTCTTTTATTTTATTTAATAAAATAGTTAACAATTAATATTAAACTTAAATAGATAAATATAGTTAAATAAAAAAAAATACTTATTTTACTTAATATGATTTAACAAATAATTAATTTTATATTTTTTTTGAATACAAAAGAAGTTTTAACAATTTTAATTGAAATAAAAAAAATTATTTAAAATAAATAAAATATGATATTTTCTAATTAATAAGAATATTATTTTATAAATGATATTAATTATAATATTGATTAAAGATAAAAATAAAAAATAATTATATAATATAATATTAAAATAATTTTTGAAACCAATTTAAATTATTTTATTCCCAATAAAATTATTAATAATTTATTTGTATTAATTATATTGACTAATAATTTAATATAAATAGTATATGACTTTATATAATGTATTTATTATTATTATTTTTTTTCGGTAATATTATTTGATATTTGTTATATTTAAAAAAAAATTACTTGATTATTTTTTATTGCTTAAAATATTTAAAAATTTATATTTAATTTAAATTTATATATTTAAAATAAATAAAATATTTCAATTATAGTTTTTGTTTTAACAATAGAAAAAAAAGTTTATTTTAATTGAATCCATACATTATAATATATGTAGAGTTTAACTTGATTATATAATTTGAACTTGATAGAAATAATACATTATTCAGTAGCATTATTTATATAAAAATATATTATATATTTTTTTTTTATATTTATTTAATATAAAGAATATTTTATGATTAAAATTCATATTATTGAAAAATATTCATTAATTGAAAATTTTTAAAAATATATCAAATATTACAATTATATATTAAAATATCTATTATTATATTAATTTTATTTCATTTCATTTATTTTATATATATTTTTTTTAATATTAATTATTTTCTTATTATAAAAATACCATTATAAATATAATAGAAACCAATAAATATTTAATTTTTAGTACTTTTTTTTTTTTTTTTCTAAATATTATTTATTCTATAGAATTTAATATAAATATTATTTAAATCAAAAATTAAGTACTTTTAAGTTTTAATTGAGTTTTAAATAAGAATTTTATTAAATTTTTTGGAAGATATTTAATTTTTATCATATTTAATTTTCTTAAATATGATATAATTTTTATTTTGTCATTTTTTTTTGTTTAATTATTTATTAAAAATAATAAAAAAGAAAAAAAAAACTAAATAAAAAAGTTATTAAATCAAAAGAGGGGGAATTTTTTTAAAAAGTTAAAATAAAATTAATAATAAATAATTAAAAAAAATAATTAAATAAGATTGACAAGGTCAATGCAGAAATCAAAAATATTAAAATAAGATAAATAATTTTTTTTAGTTAAATAAAGAAATTAAAAATCAACATAACAAAAACAAAAACTTAAAATAAAAACACAAATCAACATAACATTAAAAGAAAATGAACACACCAAGTGATGAATTGAAGAAGCAAAAAAGAATAAAAAAAATTGTAAACCGAAAATAATATAAATAACCTTGTTATAAATACTTTATATTAATTTATATTTATATTTTTTTAAAAAAACAAATTTAAAACAAAAAATAAAATATATTAAAAGAAGTCTCAAACACGAAATCCTAAGCTATCTAATTTACTAATGGCGAAAATAAAAGTATTAAAATTTATATGTATATATTTTAATATCTATTCTCCAATATAAATGGTTGGATAATAAATCAATTAATTATTATTTAAATTTGATATATAATTTCTTTCGATTTTTTTTTATTTAAGATGCTTATATTTCATAAAATTAAATAGATCAATTGAAGATTCATTCAAATCTTATTGAATATATGAATAAATTAGAATTGCTTATAATTAAAAACAAAAAGAAATTAATACAAGAAAAAAAACTATAAGCAAAATAATATAAAGGTAAAAAAATATATATATATATAATATATAAATAAAAAATAAAAAATAAAAATTTGTATTTTTTATATTTATTTTCAAATAATAAATTTATTTTATTTTTTTAATTTAATAAATAGTGTTTCAGTATTTTTTAACATAAAAGGACTTGATAAAGAATTTATTCAACAATGTAATAAAATTTTTGTTAAATTAAAAAATAATAAAGCAAAAAAAATATAATAAAGAAATTGACAAACTGAATGAAACACATTTCGACGAGTCTGATAATAATTTAGACTTAGATTAAGATTGGTATGAATTCCTTATGAGTAAAAAAGACGAAATAAAATAAGAAACCATTAATACTTAAGAAAATGAAGAACCTAAACTTAAAAAAAAGAAAAAAGTAGAAGCTTAACAAATAGGAACTATTGTAAATATTAAAATTAATGGTATACATAAAGAAGATAGCTAATCTTAGTAAAAAACATAATTAAGTTATGTTTAAGACGGATAAAACTCATAACCATAACTATAATAATAATAATAAATATAATAATAACCTTAATAATAATAACCTTAATAATAGTAAACTTAATAATATTAATATTAATAATAATAAGAATAATAA